TCTCCTCTCAGGATCTGGGCCACACACGTACACACACCCAGTGTGAGTTTAAGCCACCGAGTCCGGGACTCGAACCGCAGTCGACTACATGGGAGTCCAGTGATATAGCCATTACGCTAACTGCTGGTCCCTCAAATTTTATGTTTGAAATTTGATCTCAGTAGACTTCTAAAATTTTCCTTCATATCAGTGAAATTTTAAGAAGTGTTTTCCCCTCTAGACACTTTCTCTTTAAAAATTAGTTATAAAACTTTAATTCCCTTTAAGTAATAATACAATTTACCAACTTACAGTCTGATTACTCTATTAAATACCTGTGAATAGTAAAGTGATATTTTTGACAAATGCACAAACAAAAGAACCATCAATAAAATTCAGACATAATGAAATCATGAAAGCAGAATCCACTCCTCAACCTAGCCAGGATTGATATTAAAACCAAAATAAAGATTTCTGAAGAACACAGTACAGAAATATTTATATAAATATACACAAAGAAGTTTGGGTACTATGTTCCTTACAAAATAATGGCTACTTCGATTTATATAAAAAGCACAAAATGAGAATATATTGAACATCTGAGAATAAGCCCAATAATACATCTCCCTTTAATTAAGTTTTAAAGCCATGTTTTCTTTCTGAAAAACAAAAACACATGTATTCATCACTAAGTTAAAAAGTATATGGGTAAAATTAAGATACAAAAACATTCTACTTATATTGAGACTAAAAATGTCTTACCAGTTTCTTTGTTTCCAGAAATAGTAACTAGAATAGAAGGAAAAACAGTGAATAAATATACTTTAAATATTTTGTACAGTGAACAAATATACTTTAACTATTATGTACATACGTTTTATTTCAGGTTAAATATTCACCTTAATATCATTTTTATAAAAATAAAATGTAGTTATAAAAAGTAAACACTAATAATGCAAAATCAGAATTAGGCTCAAAACTCTAAAACTATTAAAATGCTAAAATTAAAAATCTTTATCATTAACATTATCATCAGTTAAAATTTGTTTCAGGCCTTGGTTAATTTTAAGTGTATCAACACGGCTAAAGTTGTGATGTTTTCTTTAGTTCTTTCCTTAAGGATGCCTCTCTCACCACCAGCAAATTGCATGGTGAATGGTGGATGGTGAATGGTGGAATACTCAACATTTCTGAGTCACTTTCAGAGTTAAAAGTCCAAAATCTTTGGGGCAGTGAACACTACAGGTGTTCTGTAATCTATACAGTCTATGTCTCTCTCCAGCCTCTTCAGTCATCTGCCCAAATCTCTGGTCTAATTATTTTGAACAAATTGCAATTTCTGAATGTACCAAGCAGTTTCATATGTACTGTATCACTCCCCTATTCATCCTTCAAGACCTGGTTTGAATATAACTTCCTTTGTAAAGTCTTTCTGACTCTGTTTAGGCAAAGCAGATTATGTCTTCATATCATAGGTTCTCACTCCTCCATCTCTACAATATCAGCTTCCTTCTTTTCAAGTATTTGTTGATACATCTAGCTCCTGCTACTGTACTGCATGGTCCTTCAAGTGTGGATTTGTGTCTTAGAACAGTAACAACTCTGCAAGTTATCAATAGTTCCATTTTAGGGAACCAGCAGTTGGCGTAATGGCTATGTCGCTAGACTCCCACGTAGTCAACCGCGGTTCGCGTCCCGGACCCGGTGGCTTAAAACTCACGCCCGGGAGCGTGTGCGTGCGTGCCCAAGATCCCGAGAGGAGAATGGAGGAGAAGGGATTGCGGTGTGACCATCCCCCCGGGGGGTGATTTCTCGCTTTCTGTCTCTATGTCTCTCTCTGTCTGTCTGGCGAGCGCACACATCCTATAGTGAAAATCTCTCCAAAAAAATAATAAAATAGTTCCATTTTACAAATAAGTAAACTCAGGCTCAAAATAATTAAATGACTTGTCTAAGGTCACAGACATAGATGGGGAACAAAAGTCAGTTCAAACTTGTATTCTTTCCTATAGTGTCTCTTATTGTTTTAGACCCCAAACATGGTATATAGCAACAATGCTTAATAAATGTTTATTAATTTGATTCTAACTTCTGACTAAAGTCTCTTGATAAAAAGTATATGAATACATCCTTAGTAAACTAAAATCTATGTACCTCAGTCCTCAAGTGATTTTTTTGTTTTGTGTTGTTTTTTTAGAATTTGTTATAGGGCATATGGTCCACTGGAAAGAAACAGACAGAGAGGGGAAAGTAAGAAAGTACCCCCCATAGGGAGATATCCAGGACACAATCCATTCTCCTCCACTCTCCTCTTGGGGTTCTGGACATGCAAATACACACACCAGCATGTTTCACAAGCTGTCTGGTCTGGGACTTGAACGACACAATTGACCATGTGTGATCCAGTCCCTTAACCACACAACACTGGCTGGCCCCCCACACTACATAGCATAATTTAATAACACTACTGAATTTGTTCTCAGAAAAGTTCAGAACAAGACAAGTTCAAAATGATTATGATGCTTACTATTTTAAAAACTGTTTTGGAGAAGAAAAAGACTTCTTTTCACCCTTCCTATTAGTCTGGTAGGGACTTTGCTAATCATCTCCAGCATTACAAAACTTTCTCATAAAAAACAAATTACAATTTTCTACATGTGTCATGATGTATGAATGATTGGTAATCACTGTATTTGCTCTCTCTGTATACATAGAGAGAAAGACAGATAGTAGTTTTGCGGTTTTTTTTCTCTTTCTCCAGAGAGAGAGAAAGTGAGAAATCACTCCTCTCCCCCGTGGGGGGATGGCCACACCTAAATCCCTTCTCTTCCATTCTTTTCTTGCAATTTTGGCCATGCACACACACACGTGCCCAGATTGATTTTCAAGTCATGGAGTCCAGGACTTAAGCGATGGTCGGCCATGTGGGAGTCCAGTACCTTAACCACTATACCACCTGTTGACTTCAAAGCATATTATTTTTAAAGTAGTATAAATGCCCAATTATTAAAATGATTGTACTTGCTCATGAATAAATAGATCAACAGAAAAGGACAGTTCCAAAATGAACCCAAATTTAGGCAGGAACTCAGTGTATGATAAACACAGGATTTCAAATCACTGTGTTTAGGAATCAATAAATAGCATTGGGACAAACAGGTAACCATCTAGAGAAGAGATACCACTGGGATTTATAATACAGACCAGAATAAATTCTAGTTGCAACAGAGATTTAAACTTTAAAAACCCAAAAAATAAAAAGCAGGTCAGCTGAGGTCTTCCTGCATGCCAGGTGGGCAGGTACCCATGACCCTGGACAGCTATGGCTGCAGCAAGAACTGTGGCATGAAGAAAGTAGGCAATGCCAGTTTATCTCTCTCAGACTCACTCATTAATAAAAGAAATAAACTTTAAAAACCAAAAACAATACCAAAAAAGTTCTATAGGAAACCAGAAAAAAATTTAAATGTCTATCATTCTGGAGTACTACTAGCAGGTCTTTCAGGGTATGACATAAAATCTAAAAGCCAAAAAGAGATTGATCCATTTAATTACATAAAAAGTAATGGGGACCAGCAGTTAGCGTAATGGCTATGTCGCTGGACTCCCATGTAGTCGACTGCGGTTCACATCCCGGACCTGGTGGCTGCGGTTCACATCCCAGACCTGGTGGCTTAAACTCACGCCGGGCACGTGTGCGTGCGTGCCCAAGATCCTGAGAGAAGAATGGAGGAGAAGGGATTGCAGCGTGGCCATCCCCCCTGGGGGGTGATTTCTCACTTTCTATCTCTCTGTCTGTCTGGCAAGCACATGCGCCACCTAGCAAAAATCTCTCAAAAAAAAAAAAAAAAGTAAAATAAATGGCTGAAAAAAAAAATCACTACAAGAATGGAAGACTAACAACAAACTAGAAAAAAATTCCTATGTCTTACTATAAACTAAAAACTAATTTTCTTCTTGGGCCAGGCCCATAGCATAGTAATTAAAGGAGTTGAACCCAAAATGTCCAACCATGGTTTGAATCCTCGTCCCGGGTGCATGTGCATACATGCCTAAAATTCCAACAGGGTAGAAGAAAAGGGATTTTTTAAAAATTATTTCATTTTATTTGTTATTATTACTTTTTTAACTTGACCAGAGAAAGGCAGAGACAGAGAAAGGGAAAATGAGAAAGCAAGCTGCCAGGTCCGGGACTCATATCACAGCTGGCTGCGTGGGAGTCAAGTGCTGCAACCACCATGCCGCCTGCCAGCCCCAGTAAAAGATTTTTTTTTATGTCTTTCACATGACAAAAAGAGAAAGAGAGAGAACCACCCTTAAGAAGGTCTTGAGGCCAGTAGATAGTATGGAGGTTATGGAGACTGGATCCCCACATGGTTGACTGAGCAGTTTGAGTCTCAGACCTGACTGGCCTGAAAAAAAAAATCACACCAGGTACATGTGCACCCAAAACCCTGAGATAAGAAAGGAAGAGGAGGGATTGCGACATGGCAATCCCCTCTCAGGGGGTGATTTCTCACTTTGTCTCTGACAAGCACACATACCCTATAGTTTAAAAAAAAAAAACAAAAACAAAACTCATAGTGTGATTCTATCCCGCTCAACCTTCCCAACCAGATAGGCTCATTGGCACTCACTGTGAACTAGGCATGTATAGGAACCAAACCCCAATCTTCTATATAGTTTGAGCACTGCAGAGCATTGCACCACCACTGGGTCACTGCAACTGAGTCAGAACTTTTTTGAAGTCCAATTTTTAAGACAGAGGGGAATATAAACATATAAGATACATATAAAAATGTTTGGGGCCAGCAGGTGGCGCAGCGGTTAGAGTACTGGATCCCACATGGCTGATTCCATGGTTTGAGTCCCAGACATGGTGATTTGAAAAACACACCAGATGTGTGTGCATCCATGCCCAAAATCCTGAGAAAAGAATGGAGAAGGGGCTGTGGCATGGGCATCTCCCCTGGGATTGGGGTGTGTGTGTGTGAGTGTGTGTGTGTGTGTGTGTGGTAATTTCCTACTTTCTCTCACTCTGTCTCTCTTTGGTAGCACACATGTCCTATGGAAAAAAAAAATAAAATAAAATAAAATCTAAAAATTGAGAATTCACCCTCCAGGGCAGATGGCCACACTGCAATCTCTTCTCCATGCTCCTCTTGGGATTTTGGGCACACACACAAAGGTACCTGGAGTGAATTTAAAGCTGCCAGGTTCAGGACTTGATCTGTGGTCGATTATGTGGGGGGTCCAAAGACCACCATTACACCATCTGCGGTCCCCCTTCTAGTTATTATTATTTTTTTAATCGTGTAGGTAGAGACCATAACTGGTTCACCAACATCCAGAACAAAATACGGCATGGGAGAAGCTTTTAGTATTTGTTAACTGTACCTCCACAGAGACAAAGAAATGATTAGAAACAGTTAACATTGGGCTATCTGCAGAACCTTTCAGAGAGGGACAAGACTATTCCATTTCTTGATGATCCCAATATATTCAAAATTCTTTTGATTATGAAGCTAAGGTCACAAAAAATATTAAGTATACTAAACGTTTACACGATTTTAAAGGTATGATGCAAGTCCTTTTCTAAAAAAATTTTTTTTAATAATTCATGACAAACAGTATGTTTAATGAACTGGCAACAGAAATATTTGGTCAAAGAAAGGCAGAGGAACTCTGTCCTTTAAGAATTAGAACTGAGGGGGGAACCAACAGTTAGCGTAATGGTTATGTCGCTGGACTCCCACGTAGTCTACTGCAGTTCACGTTCTGGACCCAGA